TAGAGATCGTGATCTCGAACGTGTATTGAGAGTACGCGTGAAATTATCGTACAGGTAGCCCTCCTACAACGCGGCATCCTATAACACGATTTCGCTCTAACACGATAGGATAAATTGCGGGAACCCTCGTATAGCACTGCAACCTATAACAATGTTTCGCTCTAACGCGATAAGAAAATTCCGAAAACCTTTGTACGACACTGTACTTCTACAGCACTGGATAGCATGATTTTTGTTTAACGTATTTAAAAACTAAGTTACCTTCAAATAACGACGGGAAGCAATAATGAACTATAGCGCCTTTACATGAAAATATAATTATTATAATTAAGGGTGTATAAATATATACCCTTTCGCTGGAAGAAGCTGAAAATTCACAAGGGAGCTGCAAAATTGTCTATCTTCGTACCGTGAAATCTACAATGACCTTGTTAGAATCAGCAAACAAAGCAAAATTACAGATTTTTCAAAGAGGGTAGAAGGTGCAAAAAAATCTGAATGAAGAAGAAGATTCAGAAAGTGAAAGTGATATCGTTCAACCGAGAAAACGTTCTCGTTAGATTGTACCGAGCAGTGACGAGGAAGAGATTTATTAAATTAAGCTTAACATTAAATGAAAATAATAACCGTATAACACGGTTTCATAGAACACGGCATTTCCTAGGAACCTATTTACCATGTTATAGGAGGGTTACCTGTATCTATGTTTTAATCCGTGCATTTGTTCGTAGAGGGATACGCGAGTACGTCTGCATCAAAATACACGCGTGACACAATGAAATATTGTAACAGAACAACACATCTGAAATATTGCAACAACGAAAAGACATCGTCTTTTGCCGATAGATATACAATAATTTTTAATTAATCTCGTTTTTATAGTTGTTGACAATCGGTAACTATAAAAACGAGCCGCAAGGCTCGAATAATCATATCTCCTCTTCCCAAGTTGTCCATTTTCGTGCACAATCTGAGCCCGAAAAAATTAGGGAGAAATTACTGTAAATACATCAGTCTCTTTTACACGAACACAGAAAATTAGTCGACCAAAATCAAGTCGTTTCATTGACAGAAATGATTACGTTCGTTCAATCTGCAACGCATCGATCGACATTTGTTCGCGCAAAGACCTATTATTCTAGCAGCGCAGAAACGTTGAAACAAACGCGAAATTAGCGATCGATCGTATCCACTGTCGATCTATCCTGAGAGGTTAGGGAGGGGGTCGAGTTCGGGTCGTTAGGGCCCGGACTTTAAGCTAGGATTACCGATTCGTACCGGGTTTACAGATCGGATCTCGCAGAGAGGCGCTCGGTCTCGTTACGAAAGCCGGCGTGGGTGGCTGCCTTGTGGACAGCCTGCGTGGCGGCTCACGCGGCCGCATTTTAATTGAAAATTTCGAGCGGCACGTGGGTGCTTGTCCGAGCAGCTGCGGAAGCGTTGGAGTGTCGAACCCGCGCCGATATTTCCGTCGATGTCTCAGCGGGGTCGCACGGAATCGGAGCAGATCGCGCGATGGCTGGTTGCCACAGAAGCCGGGGAAGCGTGGGCGGTTCTCTGTGTTGCGTGTTGCCCGCACGGTAAACAGTAGCGAAACCCGAGCACCAGATGCGAGAACCACTTTGCGCCTCGTCACACAGCCGGTGAATCAACCTTGTTCTCGCAGTCGAGCCGCGTAAAGCCGCGCAACGCGACGGTGTCGATCGAATAGTTGCTCGATGACTCTAGGCTTTAATGGCACGAGCACCGCCGTCGATTGTACGCTGAATTATTCCGCGCGAGGATTTTCCGCGATGCTGCGCCCAGTTTCTGCCGTTCCGAAACCGAGTGTTTGCCAATCGTTTCCTCTTCGCATGTTCGCAATAGCGACGAGAACTGCGCGTTGCTGTGAGTTAGGTTTGTAGGAGCTCTCTCTCTCCCTATCTCTCTCTCTATCCCTCTCTCTCCCTATCTCTCTCTCTCTATCCCTCTCTCTCCCTCTCTCTCTATCCCTCTCTCTCTCTCTCTCTCTCCCTATATCTCTCTCTCCCTATATCTCTCTCTCCCTATCTCTCTCTCCATCTCCCCTCTCTCTCTATCCCTCTCTCTCTCTCTCTCTCTCTCTCTCTCTCTATCCCTATCCCTATCTCTCTCTCTCGCTATCCCTATCTTTCTCTTTATCCCCCCCATCTCTCTCTCTCTCTATCCCTATCTCTCTCTCTCTCTCTCTCTCTCTCTCTCTCTCTCTCGCTATCCCTATCTCTCTCTTTCTCTCTCTCTCTATCTCTATCTATCTATCTATCTCTCTCTCCTGGATTGCGCAAGTCGCACAATCGATTCGTCCGAAGTCGACAAAGACGATTACGTGACGTCTGGCCGAAAGTTTGCAACAAAGACAATGGTCTTAGAATCAGCCGCGAAAATTCTTGACTGGGCTGCATCGGATTAAGACGCCTTTAACTCCGAGGCTTCGCGCGAACGCAAGATTGCGGAACGCTTGCTCAACATCATCCCATAAATCAATACATACCTAATTGAGTTAGGAAAGTGAAATTGTACAGAAACGGAGATTAAAGCGCGGAGAACACGACAGGGATGCGTGCCGCGGCGATCTCGTGCTGGAACACAGACGGAAATTCCACGGAAACGATCCATTATTTTACACCGGCAGTTATCTCGCTATGGAATCTAGAACTTAAATGGGTATTCTCGTGTGAACGGCGTCTTTTTTTTACATTCTACGAGACTTGTTTTTTGCGAAGTAACTGTAACATCTTTCGCGGTCAAATTTCACGGTATCTATTTATACGTTTTTCAAGCTCATTTGTTCACGGTTAAGAATAGTTGAAACTGGTGACATCGGTTTGCTTTTGAATCATAGTCCGGTTTGAACGACGTCGTGGCGGTACGACTGCGGCCATTTTGTTTATCCGAAATGAGGAAACTCGTAAGATTTTTAAATAGTTACGAGTTTAGCTGTTGCAGATACTAGAACGAAATTACGGTCGAAAATGAAAGAAAGCGACGATTTACAAATTTTTCTATTAATTTTTCCATGCCGGAAGCCTAAATTGTATTCGAAATTTCATACTAGAATACTCCCTTGCGTTACTGTATAGTGAAAAACCGTTCAGAAAACTGTCTTCTAACGCCGGAAAATTGTCCCGATTGGTTTCAGGTCCAGAGGCTGGCCGAATACGAGAGGTACCTGGGCCAGGAGGCGAGGAATCTGGTGGAGAACGGAAGCGGAAGCGTCGGTAGCGGCGCGGTGCTGCAGCGCGGCCAGCTCGAGGGCGATCTGCATCGCATCCAAGAACTGTTCCCCGGCGATAACCTGCGACTGCACGAGCGGGATGTCCTCACCACGGTACGGTGTTTCGCCAGACAACAAATACATATACATATATATCCATCGGCAGAATCTCGTATTTCCGATCGCGGCGCGCGGAAAAGTCAGCGCGGTACCGCGCGTGTTTCCGGTGGAAACGCATCGACCGTGAGGGAGAAAACTTTGCGGGAAATGGTTCCGGCGATTCTCACGGGAACAATTTCCCCTCGCCGACCGTGGAAAGTATAATTATTAATCCCGGCGACGCACACGGGACGCGCGGTTTCCCACGCGGCTCGTTGGACAACCGACGAAACTGTCTCCCATTCGCGCGACGGAAACTGCGAGCGCGGTTGAATGAAATTATAGGGGTCGGTCGCGTTTCACAGTCCTTTACTTTCGGGGGCGACTCGATACTTGACCTGCCGAGCTCGAGAAATGACTGCTCCAATGACTGTTACTTTATTGTAATAACGAGACCGAATTTATGCGGACGAATGAAGTTTATTTAATTGTTTGCTAACGTTAAGTCTACTGGCCATTGGAAGAGTGATATTTTTGTTGATTAAACTAACAAGACCGAATTTATATAGAATATTAATTAATTATAATTTATATTTAATAACCTTGACACGCACTTTCCATAAATTGCTCTACAAAGAAGATAATCTCGATTTTCTAGAAGAACACACACACACACACACACACACACACACGCGTTTTGGTATTTTAATATAAGTTCTTTTCGAACTTGGAGGATAAGAAATACAATTTTAAGATAATAAATTAATACAGAACTTTCATATTGACATTATGTAAAAATTACGCGTGGATAATTATTTTCTAATATCTTTTCGTGTACAATAACGCACCTTTCTTTACCCAAAGGTTAAGACGTTTATTCAATATTATTTCCCGTGAAGGTATAATTAGAACAACTTTATGTGGTCATTTCGACTAGCACGGCAGGATTAGCGTGAATCAAGGTGCCCCCATAATATCAACAATTCGCGTATCGAAAAATGATAGCCGGTGATTTGTAACCGGCATGGTAGGCTTAGCGTTAATGCAATAACGTCGCCGGTGCACGGCGCACCGAAGAACCTCCGGATCGTTTGTGATCTCTTTGTTCCAATCAGTCGTCGTCCTACGTGCGTCAGCCGCCTCGCTCCGACGATTTGCATACTGGGCGTAAAGAGTATTGTCAAGAGCAGGGATATTGCGGTCGACCTACCGATCGATCGATCGATCGATCGATCGATGCGATCGTGGTAGGATCGAGCGTTGCGGGGAACGCGTGCTCGCGTTTTCTCGATGCCCCCAGTCGCGGCTCGAACACGGAACGATGATGGAACGTTTCCACGAATCGCGGAGAATCATCGTCGGCTCGGTTTTCTGCGGATCTCATTAGCATAAGGCGAGATAACGCAACGTGAGTCTCTGTCCGCTAGACGCGCTTGTGTCTCCCGTGTCTGTTCGCCGTGGTCCGTGATGGATGGCCGAGCGCGGAGTTCGATTTCGTAAGAGAAAAGAGCCGGGGAACGAGAGACGGAGGCTAATAGACGACGTTGAAGCGACGTATGCTAATCAGCCTCTCGGCCCTCGGTCGCTTGTAATTCCGTGTTTCGTGGGTCCCCCACGGCCGTATTTGGTTGCGTTATTTGTCAGCCGGGACCTTTCGGTCGCCTCCTGCGTAGCGTTTGATGTCGTTCGATGTCGTTCGACGCCGCGGGAGCAGAGATCGAGGGTAATCTTCCGAAGCGACGGGCGACGTCTCGTTGAACTCTGGCCCCGTAACAGCGGCGGATTCGTGCCGGTTCGTTCGCCAGGCTCCTGCGAGCCGCAACCGGTCGAACGTCGGCTGTCAGCGGCCGGCCGTCCGCGGGAGCTCCGCGCGAAAATTTCGAACGGGTTTAGAAGGCGCGCGATGCCTCACTGTCGCGCGCGTGTTCGCTCCGTGAAATAATGCTGTTAAGTCATCCGAAAGTTAATGCGGCTTGGCACGTCGCCGTCCGGTTATTAGCCGCCCGCTGCGAGGATGATAATAATTTATGTCCTAGATCCGAGCATCAAAATTGGTCGTTACTTCGCGGGCCCCTCGAGCTATACGTGTACGCGCGCAAAGACCGGCTAGAGAGTCGCCGATAATTTAATGCTAATCTCCTTGGCCGGTGGATCCCTGGCGATAACCCGGTTTCGATTCCCGATAAATCGATACCCCGTGTGATACGAGCGCTCGACGTCCCGTCCCGGCCCGTATATACAGCAACGTGGAATGCGTGTTTCAGAAAATGAAGAGCCTGATCCGCAAGAGGAGCGGCGGGAACACCGGAAGGCTAACGAGAGTGCTGTCGCAGAAGTCGTTGAATGTGTCCAGCAACTCGCCGGCCCCTAAATCCCCGCCAAGGACGTTCCTCCTGGAGACTCCTGTTCAGTTCACCACGGTACGTGTCCGCCGATCCGCGTCGACTCTGTCCTCGCGAAAACCTCTCCGGGATTACAGTAGTCGTTGCCGGTGTGTTCACAGGGCGTACAGTCTCAGGAGAGACACCTGTTCCTGTTCTCGGACCTGTTACTCATAGCCAAGGCCAGGAGCGGGGGCAACTTCAAGCTGAAGCAGTCCGTGAGGATGAGCGAGTTATGGCTGACCGCCGGACACATAGAGGACGTCGCCGAGACGAGCAAGTCCCAGGAAACCAGCTTCGTCCTCGGCTGGCCCACCACGAACGTCGTCGCCACCTTCATGTAAGCGGTTCATCCAGACTCGTCCTGCGAACGCTCGACAAGTTCGGCTTGATATTCCGAGCGGTCCTCGAATCCGAGGGCCAGCCTTGAAATTCGTCGATGCTGAAGGGGCTTTTCGATCTTTGGTTGCAGGACCGCAGCAGCCAGGGACCTCTGGTGGGGGCGTCTGACCGAGCTGGTGCGAGAGGAGAGCATGAAGGAGCCGCCGGACACGAACATTCAAGTCGTGTACCACGACAGCGACGCGAGCACGGAATGCGTAAGTGCAAACGTCCCCCCGTGCGACAGATAGACAGAAGCAGGCGGTCACGCCTTCGCGGTCCATTCTTGGCACAACCCCGAGAGCGTACGGTTCGATCCGGCTTGACCTTCCTGGAGACATTCCTGGCCGCTCGAGAGATGCCCCTTTTGTATCGGTGACGTCAATGTCGAGAGGATCGTTCCCTCTGCAAAGATCCGTCTATATCTTTTATCGACGCGCGTCCCCCCCCCCCCCCCCCCCCCCCCCCCCCCCCCCCCCT